TTCGTGTTTGTTTTTGTTACCGGCGCAGATTTTGTCCGTTTTGTGTCGTTTCGTGCCATCAATCATAACCTGAGCGGAGCCGCGCCTCTGTGTCGAGGTGAGATCCAGAAAACAGCCAAACTGACATACAAGTTACTGACAGAGTTTACAGAGAGACTAGACATGCTGTAAATAAACGCATGCACACTTACATTATTATTATTATTAATAGAGAGATTTTAATACAGAATGGTCTTAAATGTGTGTTACAATAACATATTTTGAGTAGTTTTAACTGTTTAGTTTGTTCGTACATTAGATTACAGCAAAGTTCTATAGTCTTTGGATTAGTTGGATCGAATTTTTAAAAACAAATAAGATTAATTACAGGCATATTTACTGCTTACTGAGTTTGATCTTTAATATGCAGTTATTAAACTTTTATTTTGTTACTTTGCATATAAACCTTAACATGTCGTATGAAGTCTTGATAAAATAACGTAAAAAACTTGATCTAACGACTAAAGTTAAATTAATTGTAGATTTAATAAACTTAATTATTATTTAGTAGTTTTAATTTGCAGTACATTAATTTGTGAAACGTTCCTGTCAATCGTGTTTATTATAACTTTAATGTAAAAGCGTCGTAAGAAGTTACGCTAATGTTAGCTTACAATTTGAACTGACTAATAACAGTAAACAGATTGATTATAGATTTGAATAATAACTTTTTGAGAATCATTTAGTGTTTTAGCCATATAGAGCGACCACTAATTCCTTGTACAATATACAAACGACCTCTTATTCCTAGCGTATATACGAAGCGCCCGGCTAGCTCAGTCGGTAGAGCATGAGACTCTTAATCTCAGGGTCGTGGGTTCGAGCCCCACGTTGGGCGCAAAGTTTTTCATTGTTTTCTGTGTGTATCTGTATTATTTTCTTCCAGACTCTGTGCCCTGGTCTGTGGCTCTGCGGGATAGGGTGGTTCAGAAGGCAGTGGCTGTGGATGTTCTCCTTCTGGTCGTCTTCAGCCTCCAGCACAGTCTGCTGGCCTGGACTCCAATGAAGAGAGTCTGTCAGAGTGTGTTTGGGGTTTTGAGCAGATCTGTGTATTGTTTCACCACCGCCGCTGCACTGCAGGTAATTCTGCATGTGCATTATTTAAACATTTATAAGTAATTATTTGAGAGATGCTTTAATATAGAAGTAAATGTAAAGTGGTATGTAAGAATATTTTTTTAAGGCAATGCTTTGCCTTTTACAGTTGTTATGTAGAAATTTTATTGAATTAAAATTATATGAAATTATAAATGAGTAATTATATAACATTTGTGGAGTTATAATTTCAGAAATGAACTAGAAAAATGTACATACAATAAAAGCGAAGTTTCTTCTTAAACACCTGAATTAATACTGTGAACAGAATAATAAAAATATGTCTAAAATAATTTTATTTAAAATTAATTATTTATTATTTATTTAATTTTATTCACTGTAGTATGTCACTTGGATGTGTTATTAATTTACAAATTATATTTATTTATGCTAGTTTCTCTGATTTCAAATTATTTCTTCTAAATTTATTTAGAGATTATTTATAAAACTATATTTAAAAGAATTCCAACCTTTTTTAATTGCACAATTGTAGTATTATTTACTTTTCATTAAATTAAAAGAATGCATTGATTTTAAATAATAGATTACATGTGATTTAAAATAATGTATTTTGTTTAATTTTTTACTTGATTAATAAATAAATTCATAATTTAATAATTATAATTAACAAGAAATAGATTTAAACTATTTTATGCACATTCATTATAGCGATTATTTATTTAAAATAAACATTTAAAACTATTCCAACCATTTTTATTGTTACAATTTTAGTATTGTTTATCTTTTATTAATATAAAAAGCACGCATTTATTTTAAATAATAAATTAAATATTAAAATGTATGTATTTTCTTTCATTTATTAAATTATTCAATTAATTAATAAATTAAAAATGTATTATTTAAAATTTGATCTTTGTTTTATTATAAAATGTAATTAAATCCAAAATCATAACATTAAGATAAAATTTAATCTTACATTTTTTTTTCTTCTTTTTTACATTTATAACTTTTTCATAAATCTCCAACAAGACTTTGCAGCCCCAAATCAAAACAAATCTGACACTGTGATCCCTAATTAGCCCTTATAATCAAATACCTCTGCTACCACTCATCATTTAAACTCACATATCCTGCATGTAAATTAGTCAGTGCTATATTCTGCTCATACTGTAATCTTGTGTTCAGATATTAATGCACTATTGGCGCCCGGTCACCAGCGCCCCCTGCCTGTGGTCAGTGAGCAGTGCACCATGGGAAATCTGGTTCCCGCTCATCTGTTTTATAGTACACTTCTTGTGCTGGGCTATAATCTGCAGCATCCTG